TKTACTTACAATGCTAATGCTACCCTTATTCTCTGGCGCTCAAGAGGTAGAGGAGCCAAATGGCTGGCTCACTGCTGCCAACTAGTGGTCAGAGGCTGAACTACAACATAAAAATGAATGGTTGGCAAGAAGGTTGACATTTTAAACCTTAATTAAAAATCGATACAGGGCTTTAGAATATCGATACAGTATCGGGAAATGAAATATCGCGATATTTCAGTGTATCGATATTTTCTTACACCCCTACTATTTAAGGCCTTGCCACTGAAGCCAATTTGTGTGTGTTTTTATTTATTTTTTTATACTGTTGTGCTGTGATTGTAAGCTTTAATACTCTTGAGCTAGTAATTTCACCAGTCAGGAAACATTTGATTGTAAACAATTTTATTTTTCTTTGTCAGTAAACCAGTTTAAAGACTGAAAGTATTAAAAGTATGTGAATTGTTTTTATTTAATGTGTTTGTGTTATACGTATTTTGGTAAATTGGAAACACATATTGACCATAAAATAAATGGTGTTGTATATCAGCTATCAGCTATCCATATTTCTAAATATTGACCATGGAGGAACTCAAATTAGCTAACTTCTACTTTAATCTTTATGTAAAAATCATTCCCTGCATTCTTCAACAACTTTGCTGATATGTCCTCTGTGATTTATTTGGCACTTTTTGATGAATACAATAACATTGAGGGAGTGTTTAAGAAAATATTTAAAATTCTGTTTAGTCAGCCTTTTGGAATTGGTGTTTTGTGTAGGAGCTTCATGTTATCTCGGGTGAAAGTTCTTGCAGTGTTAAAAGTCTAAGCTTAGGAAAACTGTAGTCCTTTAGTATTATGAAGAGCACATTATAATTTGTGTTGCATGCTTTTTGTAAATGCTAGCTCAGTATAATTTAACATCTTATATGTTAAACACTGTCATCATGCTGTGGAGATCAGGTGGACGTAAAGCTGGATTTATACTTGGTGAGAAGTAAAGTAATCTGCTCTTGCTGATTTAGTTACAAGTCATACTTTTCTGCACAAACATTGAGAATCTGCAGTTCAAAACTCAGGAAGCTCTTCCCACAGCACCTAAACTGGTTTCTTTCTGCCATGGTCTCTATGCACTGTTATGTGCACAGAAGCTGTTTGCCCTATGACTGTTTTGCTGGAACAGTTGTAAACATATCTGTGTTTTCTAATGGTCTCGACCATCTGCTCCTCAGCGCTGCAGTTAATGTTAGAAATTTAACCAAAAAAAAAAAACAACTAACAATTTGCCATTTAAAATCACTGAAAACCTGAAGATTGTCACGGTGTCCTGAGGGCGTTCCAAGGTGTTGTTGTCCAAGGAAGCTAAAGAAAGTGTTGAAAAACCAAACGAGGCATCCCTACGACGCCCCTCTACTTACATGCCCTCACATACCCTTGAAAGTTATTCCCAGACCTTGTGTTGAGAACAAGTTCAAGGAGCTCATGCAAGAACAAAATGTCACTTTCATTTTCACATCTACATCGAGAGCAGATTTCATCATTTCTGAGTATGAATTCATCTAAATTCTTATTGTTATTGTGACCTGCAGGAGGTGTATGAGATGTCTAACGGTTATGAAGACCACATGGGAGGGGATGAGGCGAAGGATGCCAAGACTAACCTGATAGTGAACTACCTGCCTCAGAGCATGTCGCAGGATGAGCTGCGAAGCCTCTTCAACAGCATCGGAGAGGTGGAGTCTGCCAAGCTGGTTCGGGACAAAGTGGCAGGTATGCTGGACACTGGAGCAGTAACACCTGCGACAACCCATAGTTTAAAATAATATTGCCATAATTATCAATAAATAAAACAAACAAGCGAAAAATATTGTTCCACACAAAAACAAAAATGTGAAAAATGACACGTCCTTTTGCAGATGTTGTGGATGGGTTACACTTAAGACTGCCACAAACGATTATTTTTATAGTGGACTAATCACCGATTATTATTTTTTTCGATTAGTCGACTAATCGGATCATACGTTAATTGAATATAAACCATACAGCTTATAGCGCCAGAATGCAGCTGCTATCGTTAGATTTTAGCTATATGCTAACAAAAAATAATTGCAGTGGAAGGCAAGTTCTGCTCTGCAGATATTGCACAGGTTTCTCTTTCATTTTCTTAAAATGATCCCACACTTTTGAGCTCCGTTTCTACGTAGCCATGATACCAGAGCCTGTCTGTATAATGTCTTGTGCCGTCCACGGCCTACCCCAGTTACCACTACTGTGCATGTGTGTCAAGGACAGAAAGGCAGATGTGGCAGTGGAAGGTGTCAACGCAGTTTGGAGAGAAAAACAAAGTAAAAAAAAAAAAAAAACCGACTAATCGATAATTAAATTAGTCATCAACTATTTTAATAATCGATTAGTCATCGACTAATCATGGCAGCCCTAGTTACTACTATAATGATTTATACTTATATTTACATTCTGGCTTAAAGGTTTGTTTATATGGAAAAGTTTCTCCATGTATAACTTTCTGAAAAGAAAAATAAAACAACAAAATGCGGATCCATCTTCTGAATTTTTTGACAGTTCAGCTTCATGATTTAGTCATAGTTGTTTCCAAATTAGAGATGTTTTAATCTTTGCCATTTTTTAATGGTTTACCTGGGGTTTTGGACTTGGGGGTTTCTATTTATTATTTAAAAGATGCTGCAAAGTTTTTGCTTGGAATTTAATTTAATCAGTTTTTGACCACGTTAGGCTTGTTTTATTAGAAGTAGATTAATTATTTAACTGTAGACAAGTTTGTTTGCTTAAGATAGCATGCAATGTTAAGATTTGTTTTTGTTTTAAATATTTGTTTGCAGATTTTTTTGAACAATACGTTTTTTTGTTTTATTGTTTTCCTTTTTTTTTTTTTTTCTAGGCCACAGTTTAGGGTACGGATTTGTTAACTATCTTAACCCTAGTGATGCAGAAAGAGCTATCAGTACTCTCAATGGACTAAGGCTACAGTCCAAAACTATCAAGGTAACGTGAAATAAGGTGTTCTACAATTCTCAAAGCAAAGATGTCATGTCTTGTTACTCCTGTGGCACCTGAGGTCTCCGCTAACTAGCTAGGACATGTCAGCCCCTGGAAATGATTGCGATTTAACTGCTCACTTGCTTCCTCATCAGACATGTCTAACTTTGACTTAAAATTGACATATTTTTAATTAACTTAAAATGTTTTTAACGTTTATGGGTTTTATTTCCTAAAACTTTTTCATTGTTTTATTGCTGTAATGTTTGGGCTGAAACATGTGGCAGTGAAAGAACAAATGGTTGACAGTCCATTTTAATCAGATTATTTTAGTTTTGTTTCATCAACTCTGCAGTATTTTGTATTTTATTTTTTTAAACCAAAAGCTTCTCTGGTAAATAAGTTGTAATTTACCAAAACACTATAAATATTTTTCTTAATTATAATCCACCTGAGGTTAGATGGTCACTTTAGGTGAAATTTATCATAAAATAAAGTGCTCTAAATAAAGCAATTTTTTTTCTTTCTTTCTCTCAGGTGTCTTTTGCTCGACCCAGCTCAGACACTATAAAAGATGCCAACCTGTATGTCAGCGGTCTGCCCAAGTCCATGTCACATAAGGATGTGGAAGATATGTTTTCACGTTACGGTCGTATAATTAATTCTCGGGTACTCGCAGACCAGTCGACAGGTATGACAGGTGAATGACTCCTTTGCTTTTCAGAATTCACTACCAGGTATAGATCAAAATCCACACTAAATCACAGCTGTTTCTTGACTGAGACGTGGGCTGTGATATTTGCGTTGCAGCGGGGAGTCATCATTTGCTCTCCTGTGTCCAGGTGTGTCTCGTGGAGTTGCTTTTATTCGGTTCGACAAGCGAGCAGAGGCCGAGGAAGCTGTCAAAAACCTGAATGGCCAAAAACCACCAGGAGCCGCCGAACCCATCACAGTGAAATTCGCTGCCAACCCAAATCAGGTGAAGAACACGCAGCTCATCTCTCAGCTCTACCACAACCAGTCCAGACGCTTCGGAGGACCCTTACACCACCAGGCACAGCGATTTCGGTGAGACGGGATAAACCGAAAAGATTTGAATGAACTAGTTTTTGTTTCAAGTAGGCATGGGCTGGGGTGAGATTATCACAGGTAACATGCAATGATGAAATTTGTGCTCTGCATTAGGGCTGGGTAAAGAAATCGATTTAATTGATCTTGGATCGATTTAATTAAAATTTGGGAAAATCGATTCACAGGGCATGAGATCGATTCTTCCCCAGGCTGTCTTGTGCGCGCGTCTGAGGTGTGTTTCTATATTTTGTCACACCTGGCTTGCCGTATATTTACATCTGGTTGACGTTCTGTGCTAACATTAGCTTTCGATAACAAGTTGTCTGGATCAAATCAAAAGAAACTAAGGAATCGCTAACGTTACCAGCCGACTCTCCACAGAACTTAAAGATAACGGAGACCATGGTGACTTTTGTTTGCAAAGATTTGTGCTCCTACGTGTAGAGGAAACAAAGCTGGGTTTGACGAGTGGCCCTCGTTCAGGCACTCGAACCGAACTACTGTATGTAAACATCTGACTGAACAGTTCTCCACCGGCATGTTTAAACGTGTTTAAGATGACATTCTAACGAAATCGGTTAGTTTTGTTACCAGTATTATTATTTTTAAACTTTAAGAAACATCTTAATGAAATCCACAGTGATGAAATTTTGTAGTTGTTTTAATAAGTTATATGTATTAAGTTTTAATAACTTTTATTGAACATAACAACAGAAGGTAACAGAAACATTACAAATATACAGTTATAAGATAAGATAAACCTTTGTCATTGTACAGAGCACAATGAAATTACAGTTCAGAACACCCATTCACAATGTTTCATACACTCAAAAGGATTGGACAGAAGTATGTTTATATTAGCCCACCTCTTCTCCTGCAACCTTATTCACATCACTATTTATCAAAATAATTATTAATTACTTAAAAATGAATGAATCCACAACAAAACTGTCACCTGCATCTCCTATTTACTTTAAAACCTTTTAAACTTGACAGTTTTCTTTCAAGATTAAACAGTTTAATTTAAAAGTTTGTCCTTAAAACTTCTTGTTTATGTTAAAGAGAAAAAAATGGTGATATTTTGCGACACAGTTGCAAAAATACAATATCAGTATCAATAAACATTTTCATCTAATCGTGATTAATCGATTCTGAACTTAATGAATCGAAATCGAATCGATTTAGAGAATTGGCCATGATACCCAGCCCTACTCTGCATTTGACCCATCACACGTAAGAAACACCCACGTGGAGCAGCGGGCAGCTATGTAAGCACAAATCAACCAAGACTTTTCTTGATTCAGGTTTTCCCCAATGGGCGTTGATCACATGAGCAGCATGGGAGGCGTGAGCGTTCCTGGGAACAACTCCGGCTGGTGCATCTTCATCTACAATCTGGGCCAGGATGCAGACGAGAGCATCCTGTGGCAGATGTTCGGTCCCTTTGGTGCCGTCACAAACGTCAAGGTCATCCGAGATTTCAACACCAACAAGTGCAAGGGCTTCGGCTTCGTTACCATGACAAACTACGAGGAAGCAGCGATGGCCATCACCAGCCTGAATGGGTACCGACTCGGAGATAAAGTACTGCAAGTGTCCTTTAAGACTAGCAAGGGCCATAAGTAAAACAAGTTGGACACTTGGGTGTATAGAAGTGCAGAAAATAATCCGTGTCAGGCTTCTGTTCTTTAAAAAAGAAAAAAAAAGTTCAACCAAAAACAGTCAGGCACATTTTGGTTTTATCGTGTTCAGAGAAAAACAGGAAGTTCAATCTTCTGCACTTTTTGTACTTGTTTAAAATAGTGTGTTTTTCCCCCACTATCAATATCATTATTATTATTATTTTACTTTTGGCAAGTGACTGAGTATAGAGGTTTACCTATGCCTATTACCTTGTAAAATGTTCTCAAAAGCTTAAATACAATCTACATGTGTCGCATGTTTCACTTTTAGGAAAATATAACAAAAAAGACGAAGAACTCTGAGCGGGGCATCGACAGTGCAGAAAACAGAAAAACCTATCAAATGTTCTGAAGCTGAACTGTTTTAGTGTAAAGCAGGAAAACCTCAGAAAATCTTGGCTCTTATCAGGTGTAGAAGTCGATGCCTTAAATGACCATTTGAACAGTGAACAGAGATCCTACAGTACCATCCGGTGTTTGTAAAGAAACAAAGCACTTTGTGTGTGAAGATGTGCTGAATATCAAAACCTTTTGTTACACTAGAACGTTGCTCACCTTCTGACCAACCGTTTTATTGATGAGATTTGCAGCACGTCCTCTTGATTCATAAGCCCTGTGTTGAGTGTCCTGTTTTATTACAGGAGTTATGTTGGAAAAAAAAAAGGCCAATGTTTGTGGAGTTAAGATGGACCAAAGGCAGGGAGAATTTTTAATGTTTTAAATCCAGATGTTTTCTGGTCCTTTCAAAATGCAGATTTGACCATTTTTGGAGTTCTGTTCGAGTGGTACTGACTTTGTTTCTGATGCATCCTGACAGCAGCATCCATGTTTTGTTTTTTTGGTTGTTTTGTTTTGGTTTTATTATTATTATTATTATTATTTTTTGTAGATGTATCCATTTTTGTTTCAGTGTGAGGTGGATTACTTAAAATTATAGAGAACATTATGGCCTTTGTTAATTTAGATTTGCTTTATTTTTTTGTTGTTTTTGATTGTTTCATTTTGAGCATAAACCATTAAATTTTTTTTCATTTTGCTGAGTTTTGTTTGGTTTGTTTCTTTCTTTCTTTTTTCTTTCCTTTTTTAATTTTAATTTTAAAATCAAGATTAGGTTTGAAGTTCTGTTAATTTTGTTCAGTGATCCAGAACAAGGCTGCTCCTAAAAGCGTACCGATCAGACATCGAGACAGCTTACATGTCATTGTAAAATGGACCAAAGCAAACAGAATCTGGCTGAGAATATTTCTGTAAAGATGGGGACTGAAGGTTGAATTTCTGTTGGATAAAACAGGACTAGAAGCTGTATATTGGCTCTATTTGTGCATTTTTATAGTTTTTGTTAGTTGTAGTCTAAAACCTGGCTTTATCAATGTCGGTGTTTAGAAGGTGATGCAATAAATCAGCATATCAGTGTGGGTACGTTTAGCAACATTTAACACAAATAATGGATCATATTTTAATATGACCAATACAGTAATATTGTCCCCAAATTAATTTCCCCCCTTATTAGTAAGCTCTTAATGTTTCTCTGCTAAGCCGTTTTGAGAGCAGGTTTAACATCAAAAAAATCTTATGAGTAATTTGTATTACAAGGCAGAATACTCTCATCGGCATCACTTTGTTTCAAACTCCGATCATTTCGGGTGTTAAGCATTTTTTTCCCACCATAATGAAATACTGATGCAGTGTTAAATGCCCATTTTAACCATGTGCTTCTTTTTAATACAAGTGTTTTAAATACAAGGTTCAGATTCAGTCTTTGAGGTAAAGTTCTCGTGTTTTGTGTCACAGTCCCCAACTTTGTGCAATATTTTAAAACTTGCTCAAAGCAAGTGATCGTCTTGAAATTTCATCCTAATTTGTTTTTCTACTGACCTGTTACTGCTTGAATTTGTTCTTTTTTGTCAGTCATGTTAAAATGTAAAATATTCAAGTTAGTTTTAGGAGGCAGTCAAATTAACTGCAGTCTGCCTTAATTCATATGTGGAACCTGTAATATACTGAAAAGTGGCTTTTATTTATTTGAGTGTACATCATACTTGATACTTATACTCTAGTGTTTTTATTGTTTCCTTTTGTTTTGAACTTGTTTAACACTAAGTTCAAGGCCATTAAATGAATTCTAACATTGAGTCATTTCATTAAAATGTGGAAAAAATTCAGATGGAAAAAAATTAAACGTGTTCAGAAACTTATGGTGGATTTTCTTGGTTTATTTTCACAATATGGCCGTTACTTTTCTTTTTATGCAGTTTGGTTATAAGAAAATTTTTAAGTTTTGTTACAAGTGAAACAAAGGCATATTTTCTGGAAGTTTTCTGTAACAACAGCAGCAAATGACAAACTGCACAACTGGACACATCATGGGTCAAGGATGAGCCTGTTGATTTAACGTCATGGGGTTAAAGGTCACTGGGGACCACTGGTTAAGTAATGCTCTGAGTATGTATTGGGGTGATGTACTTGTATATTTCCAATGAGTACTTTTTGCAGGTTGTATGAAAGTCTGTCCAGTGGTTCATGAGATATTTTGCTAACAGACATGGACCATAACATTGTTTTCCATCCTTTGACCTCTTACTATAGATAAGTGTACCATACAAAAATAAAAATAAAAAACTACTATTTTCACTCCTCTGGGAGTTTAATGAAACCAGTCTGTGATACAACAAAAGGTTGGATCCAGCTGCTGTATATTGTACAAATTCAGAAGTTTTCATGGGAAATGCACTGGTAAATTAGTAAAATAACTTGCAGCCAGTGGTGTGTTACAGGATTTTTTTATTAGAAAACAGAATTCAAAGCATTGGTATAAAAAACAAAAGATCCTGTGCTTTGGTATTGTTTCAGTGATTCCTTGTTGCTTTGATGAAAATCTACTTCGTCTATTAAATGTTATTTTGGTTTACAAAGGAGATTCTGTTAAATTTCAAGTCTTTCCATTACTAAAGCTCTTAATAAGGCAGTTAAAACCTTGAAGATGAAACTATCAGTTCCATCAAGATATCTCAGCCCTTATTTCAGTTATTCACACATCACTACTATTCATTCTCAACTCTCAGACAATACCCTCTATAGGTAGAATTCCAGTTACATGGGAAGCACGTCCTTTTTTGCTATCCAGTTCAAACTGAATGAAGACAGCACGTCGCATTATTGTACCCCTATACCATCAAGTAAAGGATATTTCTGTTTTCGGCATGGCACAGGTAAAATCTGTTGAGGCCGCCCAGCCCTGACCCATCGATGTGCTCGACATTTGGTCTCACTGTGGCCAGAGTTCAAGCAAGGCTTGAACTGTTCTGAGCTCCCATACGTTCCTCGTCGTCCCTCCCGTCAACAGGGTCTCACACTTGGCAGAGATTGTAGCAGGGCAAAGGTTTCTCCAGCACGTTGTCTCCGTCCACCTCGAACACGTAATCGCAGCGCTGTGCGATCAGAGGAGCATCAGACAGGGCCACGCTCTGATTGCCAAAGGAGATTACTGTGTCTCTCTAAAGGGAGCGAGAAAAAGAGCAACACAGTTACGTTGTGAGTGTCCTTGTAAAAGGTTTCCTGAAGATGGCACATTACTAAAAGATGACACGATTCTGACATTCTTTGAAGAAATGCATCTCCCTACTGCTTTTAATGTCAGAGTTTTGAAGCTAAGATCATCTGATGCTAAGGAACAACGGTTGTAACCACTTTCATCAGTCTTTGTAATTAATTTATGTCTGATCTCGTGCTTCATCATGAGATGTCAGGCCTGGTTAGAGTATGTATTATGAATGACTCAGCTATTACCCCGTCAAATCTTAGTATCTGTAAAACTGACAAGGTTATCGCTATTTTTGGGTTGTCTAATGTTGCTGTAGCCACTATCTTGTGTTGATTCCAAAATGAACACAATAATTATTTTTCTGAAAGTTTATTAAAATCTGTCCCAAGGTTCACATTTTTCTCACAGACAGATAAACAGGCACACAAACGATGAAAAAGCTACTATCATCCTTTCTACTTGTTGGCAGGTGATAACAGACCATTTCATAGTTTTCTACGCACATTGCATTGTGGGTAGGGGTTCAAAAGTTTTTTGATAAAAACAAACCTGCATCACTATTAAATTTGATGGACGTATTATTTTTTTCCCTGCTAATCTGATGCTTTTTACAAATGTGTTTGAGAAAACACTGGGTGAGTTGAAATGTTGGACTGGCAGTGTGGGGCTTTTTCACAAGCAGGGGTCTCTAATAGAAAGGGAAATTTTAAGTTTTCATTCGTAAAAGTATAATTTTGTAACTTATGACTTTATTTTTTAACACGATTAACATAATTTCATGCATTTGCCAAAAAATCTAATTGCCGCAGTCATTGTTTAATCTTTCAGTTCATTTTTAATTTTATTCTTTTTGTCTGCTCTTACTCACATAGATGAACTGAACAAGCCATAAGTATTATATTTTATTATTTTAGGTCCTACCAGTACTTTACTAAAAAAATTAGTTGGGACTCCTGCCCATGTAGTTAGTATCTACATATAAATTATGCCGTGGCACAAAAATGCTACCAAAACCAGCTCAAAAAGCAGATTTATAGCCTAAAGCAGGGGTGTCAAACTCATTTTCACCGAGGGTCACATGAGTGTTATGGTGGTCCTCGAAGGGCCAGTTGTAATGAAGTTTGATGTTTCATGTTTAACTTTGACTAAACAGAGTTTTAAACACGTCCTCTTTTAAACACTGATAAGAACTAAGTGTATGACTGACTGGATCTGAAATAAATACAGAAATTCTATTAAAAGTAAAATTAATAGAGTTTTACTCACTGAGGAGTTTCTAGTGAGTAGCTGCCATCTTGAATTTTGGACTCGCCTACTTTCTGACAGGGAAATCCCATGGATGATCAACATGCATTATGACAGATTTAGTTTATGGTCGATGCTGACTTTAAAGCAGCTCATTTTCAGACATTAATACTGTGCTATCCAACTCAATTGCTTAGTTATTAAAGCCAACAGCTCAGGAGCAGGACAATTATTATCTTTCACCTTTTAAATGTGTTTATTTTGCTGCATTTAATCATAAATTTACAGTTTACCATTGATATAACAAACAATTTTCATATTGAGTAAACATAAATAAATTAATAAATAAAATTTTTTGGTGGTGGGCTAGACGGCCTTGAGTTTGACACATGCGGCTTAAAGCTATGAAAAGTCTTATCTATGATCTTAAAGGAAAGTTTAACACAAATAAGTTTAGAGCAAATACATTGATCTGAATAATGATGAAAATATACCGGCTGAATTTGTTCAATTCCAACCTGAGCATATATTCTGTATGACCTGTGACCCTACTGCTTTATGCGTTTATAACTACAAAATGTTCTGACACTGTGTTTTAAATCTTTGCAAAGTTCTCAGCGGTCACTGATCCGTACGATGAACAGGTGTTGAGAAACAAATCTTCCTTACCCGTCCGTTATTGGCAGCAGACGTGGCGGCAGTAGCAGCAGCCGCTTTGTCAAAGTCCTTTTTACAGATGTGAGCCATGATTCCAGCTGCTAAAGCATCGCCCAGAACATTGATCATGGTCCGGAACCGATCACTGACCAAACAAAAAGGACAACAGCTGACTCGCTGCCCAATGTTTACGTTCAGTGAAATGAATGTCATCTTAAGTGAGACTTACAGAACCCAATCAATGGCTACAATCAGGGAGATGTCAGCCGGCGGTAAACCAACAGAGGTTAGGACAATCACCATTGTTACCAAACCTGCCTGAGGGATCCCAGCTGCTCCGATGCTTGCTGCTGTTGCTGTAATGCTGATGGGAAAAGAAGTAACGAACACTTGATTGACTCTCAACACAAAACAGCGACTGATGGACTGAGTCTTTCTCGATGTTTAAGCTCACCTGATAGTGACCAGCTGGCCGAAGTCCAAGTCATACTCATTGACCTGGGCTATAAAGATGGCAGCTACAGCCTCATACAGGGCCGTCCCATCCATGTTGATGGTGGCTCCCACCGGCAGGACAAAGCGAGCTATCTGCCGGTCCACCCCGCAGTTCTCCAGAAGACACTTCATGGTGATTGGCAGCGTGGCTGAGCTGAAGTGAAAGCAATGAGATAAAAGGATGACAGGACATGATGATCACACCAAGAGATAAGATAAACGAACATCTGTCTCTTCTTACCTGGATGAAGTTGCCAGAGCGATGACGAGAGCCTGCAGCAGGCCTCGGATGAAGGGGAAGGGGTTTTTGCGGGTGAAGAAGAAGTAGAACATGGGCAGCAGGATGAGACCGTGCACCAGCAGACCACACAGAACAGTGAGGAAGTACATGCCCAGCTTCTCCCCGAGGTGGGCCGGGTCCTGCATGTCCAGGATCTTTCCAGCAACCAGGAACACGATACCGAATGGAAAGTACCTAAACAGAGGAGAGGAAACGTTAGTTCATTTCCACGTTTGAGACCATTTTCTATGGCAGTTATAAAACCGACATCAGAAAATTTCTTCAAGTTCTTGTGGTATAAAGTTATCAAAGAGAGAAGATACAGCACGTTTCAAACTACAGGCAAAACCTCTCACTAACCTTATATCTGGGCCCAAAGGTAATACTTTAATTATTAAATAGTTTTTTATCTTTACTGCAATTTTCTCATGACATCTGGCCAACTTTCAAGTCAAAAAAAGAAGTTTGAACTTTTCTGTGATCTTTGATTCTTCTATGAAAAAAGCAACAGAGAATCAATTTTATTTGTCCTTTTCTGTATTTCTTTCTCATTTCATATGAAAATAATAAATTGACTTTTAGTGAAGATTTTCTTTTTTTAATTGATTTGTTGGATTAAAAATATTTCTAAGAAATAATAAAAGAAAACATTTTTGATAGAGTGTAAGACTAACGATGTTTTTCTAAACTCAACAGTATTATTAATCTGTTAGGTTATGGATGTTCTAAACTCTACATAATATATAATTTGTAAAAGATAATTTCTGTAAGAATAATTTGTTTTACAACATTTCTTCAGTGAATATTAACAGATTTGCCCTTAGCTTGGACCAAGTTTTAAAGTTTGTTGTCATTGTGTGACTGTTTGGCCGCTCTGCTCTACGACAGAAACAGAGAACACGATGAGGACACGATGTGTTCTGCAAATTCAGTCTCAAAGAACTCCACTGAAGATTTGAAGAACTAATCTTATTCGTAGGAGTTCATCCGTCCGCTCAAACAGGTGGAGCTGACTCAGCAGCTGCTGATGTGGACACTTCAACATCACTTTTCCCTGACTTGTGTTGCCACATTTGTTTCTACACATTACCCGACTGTATAAACGTACCACATAGCGGCATTAATGATCTTCATCACACACTCGTTGATGCACTGACACACGTTGACCAGCGGTAATCCACGTTCTCCCATCTTCCCCAGCAGTAGTCCTGGTAGACAAAACAGCAAACTTACAGTTAAAACATCTGATGGACTGTTGCACTGGCCTGGGCCTGGGTTTGATTGTTAGCAGCTGAACTATAGCAGAAATATGTAAAAGCAGCAACGGTTTGCTTCTGCTTTTGTGGAAATTGTCCTACCCATGGTGGCCGAGAAGATGACGATTCCCAACACGTTCATGCCTTTGCTCGTGCTGGGGACGATTTTATACTTGATGTCGGGTGCAGGAGTGATCTCTAAGAACACCGGGTGGCCCAGCTGAGGGTTGTGGTAGTCGGGCATGACGTACACAAAGTTGGCCTGAGACTCTTTCACGTTGGAGTTCTGCACAGTTTGCACCAAATCTGTCCGGTACTAGAAGAGACACATCCACAGGTGTGAGCAGATGCACTGGTTTGCTTTACTGAAGATTTTACATATATATATATATATATATTCTCTCTCACCTGCTGGAAAGTAGCTTCAATTAGATTTGATGGGATCATGTTCCTATAAGAGAAGAAACACAACATGAAATCATGTCCAAAGGTTGATATATAACATACCCAGCAAATGCAGAACATCTGCATCTAATGATTTTAAATCCTATTAATTGTTTCACAAAAGTGATTTTTTTTAAAACGTTGCTTTTATATTTGAATCAAATGCAACATTTTGAACTAATTCACGTTTTTTTCTAACGTTTTAGCGCTGAAGCCATCAATGTGCAGTAAWGTTTGTTTAAAACAGTCACCCAGATAAATACAAAGAGGTTAAAATTAGGTCCACTTTCAACATGGTCTATACCAGTGGTTCCCAAAGTTGGGGTCGAGACCCAGAGTGGGGTCCTGAAACATCAAAGTGGGGTCCTGAAACATCAAAGTGGGGTCCTGAAAAGATTTTCTAAATTAATTACATTTTTGCCTTTGTTGCCTAAAATGTATAAATGTAGAATAATAAATATTGTTACTATGCCCATGTTTAGTTGACCTGATACAAATGTTTATCATCCAAAAACAGTAGTGGGCACAGGTCTCTGTTATTTTGTGGGTCAAAAACTGAAAAGTTTGGGAACCACTGCACTTCAGAAATCAATTTAAAAGGTAATAAAATAATTGGTGATGTAATATTTTTCCCTATAATTATTACAAAAACACAAAATAAGTATTTATATTTGTGTAGGCTTTGTTTTTAGGGTTATTAACAAAGTTTGTGTACTCAGACCAGTAATATTTGGGGTTACAAGTTTTTGCAATGAATATTTTGTGGGTCAAAAGCTGAAAAGTTTGGGAACCACTGGTCTATACTGTCAGTCAGCTACATCCTTTATTATCTGCTGAAGTAAAACACCCTCAAAATAAAATAAAATAAACACATTTTTGGTCATTACTGATCTTAATTTTACTATATTTTTTGGTGCAAAAATAGAAGAAATTCAGTGTCTTTGGCAAAAAACAAATGTGATTTTCTTCAAAATGTAACATTTCTTTCATGAGGGAGTTATTTCTACTAAAGCAGCCACATGAAAACAACTTTTTCCTTGTAAAGATTATTAATATACTTGTGAAAATCACTTTGATTTCTTGCAAAAGTTCAAAAAAATTGAAGACATATTTTTGCTCTTCACTGTCTTTCAGCAGCAAACAGCCAAACATTGGACCCCTGTTAAGCAGTGCTCACTCTTCACTGCCCAAMTATTTGACATCCTGTGAAATAGTTCTGGTCCAGTGTGGTAAAAGACCACAAAACAAAGTATTTCTACTGCGCCTACAAAATGTCACAGCAGACTGATCTACCCAGGATTATTGCTGTAAGCTGGCATGAAGGAAATAAAGAGGAGCTATCAATCAATTTATAAAAATAGGCAACTTATAACCTGAGTGAGAGAGTTGGGCATCAGCCATGTTTGATTAATATTATCAGGATCAACAAAGTCAACGTCTGGAGCATCAAAAACTGCTGATGTCAAAAGACCTTTGACCTCTGGTTTCTGATTTTCCTATTATTTGTTTTTTCTGACATGTGACACATGGCCATAATTGAGTATTTACATTTTAAAAAGCACAACAACAATATACTATTTTTATGATGTAAAATTATTTTTATTTTAAATCAGGTAAATATAGGTTTTTCTTAAAACATCAGGATTTCTCAGGAAGCATTACAGCAGCTTTTTAATGGGATTT